TCAGGACTTGTCTTCCTAGTGCTGGACTGCAAGGCTTGGAGCGTTACATGGGGCTCAGAACTCCCATTCCTGTGAAAGAGCCTCTGCAGTATACTTATTCTCTACTTTGTGGGTTGCCCATCCTCGGGGGTAATATGAGTCTGTCCCTCCTACCGGTCTCATTATGGTTCCTTCTTTGTGTCTTTAGGTTCCATTCTTTTTCATCTACAGTTGTTCTGTAGATAGTTGTGGTTTTTGATGTACTCATGAGGAAAGGTGAGCCCAGGGCCTTTCTACTCCACCATCTTGGCCTCTCTATTCAGTCATAGCCTACTTAATGTTTTTTCATTTATTTTCAGAATTCATTTGTTACTAAGGCCCCAGACTTTTAATTTTCTTACTTCAATCTTAAGTTTTAACATTACTAATTCCATTGTTTAGTTTGTTGTTGTTGTTCAGTTGCTAAGTCCTACTCTTTGTGACCCCATGAACTATAGCATGCCAGGCTTCTTCTGTCCTTCACTGTCCCTGAGTTTGCTCAAACTCATGTTCATTGAGTCAGTGATGCCATCCAACCAGCACATCCTCTGTTGCTCCCTTCTCTCTTGCTCTCAGTTTTTCCCAGCATCAGAGTCTTTTCCAATGAATTGGCTCTTCGCATCAGGTAGCCAAACTATTGGAGTTTCAGCCTCAGCGTCAATCCTTCCAGTGAATATTTAGGACTTGATTTCCTTTGGAATTGACTAGTTTGATCTCCTTGCTGTCCGAGGGATTCTCAAGAGTCTTCTCCAGCACCACAATTCAAAAGCATCAGTTCTTTGGCACTCAGCCTTCTTTATGGTCCAACTCTCACATCCATACATGACTACTGGAATTATTTAATTTAGTAGCTTTCAAAATATTTGTTCACACAGAGAAATCTACTTTTCTTCATGTCCCACAAATGCATACATATATACTTATGTACATATATGAAATATCTTAATTTTGTGGAGAACTTGCAAATATTCTAATTTTTCTTTAAAGCTAATCATAACCCATGCATTGATTGTAGACTCACAGTTTTGCAAAACACTGATCTAGTGAATCAGTGGTATTGTGGAGCACAGTTTATGTTATTTAGCTTTATCTCCAGCCTCACTAGAAGTCACTTGTTATCCTAAGAAAAGGAGGGTCACTTCAAGCCATTTTTAGAGTCAGCATACCATGAATGAATGTAATTAAATTACAGAAATTATAAGAAACTCTGAACTTTGAAATAACATGGAACTAGGCTGAAATTCTAGTCTTGCTTCTCTGAGCCTCGGTCTCTTCATTTATAAGCCAGATGTTAGACAATATTAGAGTGGTTAAAAGCATGAATTCTTGAGTTGTACATCCTGGATTCAAAACTAAGATCTTGGATCTTTAACCTCTCTCTGCCGAATTATCAGTGAAAGGGGAGAGTGACATTTACCTCACAGTGTTTTGGGAACTAAGTGAACAGCAGGATGTGGCATAATATATAGGAATCACTTAGTAAAAGTCAGTTGTTGTTATGTGTTAAAGGAGATGATAATAACTGCTGAAGATTTGAGAACAGTTTATAATAATGGATAAGAAAAGTTCCTACCCTCAGTGATTAAGCCTGTAGCAGAGTATAATTGGTTGAAAGATTAAAACAACCTTTTCATATATTTAGTAGCTGGACATTTCTTAGGGCTACATCATTACTTAATTCTGAAGCAGTTAAAGTATGTTAGCATGAGTCTTAACTATCAGTCATTCCAGAGATATCGTAACATACAGATAAATTACTCACTTTGGTATAAACTTATTTTGAGCTATTGTGGTATTCACATTTTTTTTTTCATGCCTTTCCTTTTAATTTTCTAAGTCATGCTTTCCTTACTTTTCTGTTCTTATTTACTGTATTCTCTGGTTTATTTATAAGTCATATCATTAAAGTCTCAGATTTTTAACCACAAGGAACAATTCATCTCAGATCCCTATTAAAAGATGAAGGCCAGAGAGTAGCTTTGCCAGTGTTTCAGTTAGTGACAAAACTGGGACTGGATCCTGGTTCTTTTGACTTCCAACTTAATAAGTGTTTTTTCCACAATACGAAGGCACATTTTAGAAATAAATGGGTCAGACTCAGTGTTTAATTTTAAGTGTACACTGGCTTTCATATATTCTTCCTTGAAATCTTAAAGGAAAATTTAAAGGTAGTTAAATCATTAAAAAGTTCATCACCTTTCATAAATTTGATTTCAGCAATATTTTGATTTGTTTCACATGTCCCTGTAAGATTGAGTTAACACATCAAAATTATATTTATGGTTTTTTTTTTAATATTTGTAACTGTTGAAGTGATAAAAATAGTAAGTATTTAACATTAGTATTGTGAAAAGCTAGTGTATTGTTTTTGTAGGGCATATAAAATTTTACTTAAATTTTTATTATTTTAAAAAAATTCTTTAGCAGACTGACCTAAATTCTCTATGGCCTCTGGATAATTTTTGTTTTTAACATTTGCTTTAACATTTTAGTACAGTCTATTCTAAACTATAAAAATTATCTAATTTGTGAATAATCCAGGTTTTTTTCCCCCACCATCTTGCTTTTGCCCTTTTCATTCATCAATGCTTAAGGAATAGAGCAGGATAGAGAGTTGGTGAGACTCAGAAACTCAGTTTTTCTGATTGTTACCTTAGTTGGTAAAAGTTATTGAAGTAAAAAATCCATGTATAGGATCCTCTTTGGATTTTGGTTTCCTGTAATCAAGTGTTGACTCTGTGGGAAGATGCATAATTCTGTTGAAATTCAGTGGTGTACCAGAAGACGACATAGGGCCTTATGAGAGAAGGCTCCAGCAGTGTCTGGTAGAGACCTGCTTTGGTGGCAAACAGATGGAGGCATTCAGGGTGGGAAATTCTAAGAGGGGCCAACCTTGGAAGGAGGGTTGTTTCTCAGAATGTGATGTGTATTCTGAGGTGGCAAATTACTTGAACAGACACCCTGAGATTAGAGCACTCTTTGGGTCAATGGCAGCATTTTCTAGATACTTCTGACCCTTCCTTCATCTTTAACTCTTATAGCAACATTAAAATTTGTGAACTGTAAATTCAGAATACAAAGTCTGATATTTTTTCCTTACTTCTGAGCTTAATTATATGAAGAATCTGAAAGGGTTCATAAAAGTAATCAATCCTATTTTTAGTTGTATATTTAAATCATTACTTTTCTTTACGATAAAATTTAAGACTTTTTTGGAAAGTGTGGTTGGTTGTCAAATCTATATCTGGCCTGTCATGCACATAGAAGTATATCCCCCCCTTATTTCCTGACCCAAGTCCAGACTCTATATATCTCCTTCCGACTCATATACTGTGGCAACCTCCTAGTCTGTCTCCCTCAGAATAGTTCTGATCCCTTCAAATGCAGTTTTCATCCTTTCTCATTAAGAGTTCTGAATCATTCCCTTTGCCAAATATTCCTGCTCCACAGTGTTTAATTTACTCTTCCTGTCTCAAAAGACCTTTTCCTGTCTAGTTAGTATTAATACCACACTCTGAGTTTCTAGTCATCACTCCTGCCCCTTGTAGGCAAGCTATTTCCTCATTGTTCCTCTCATGGTGCTTTTTTTTTTTTTTTCCTTTTACTACTTTGGGCCATACTCTCTCCTCTCATCTTCCTTTTCCTTTTCTGAGCTCTTATTCTACACAGTGCCTCACAACACAGCACTTAATTCTTTTGTGTATACAGAATCAGATTAGGTCAGAGACTTCTGGAATTTCATCCCTGCACCTCAGTTCTTGCTATCGTTATAGTAGGTGCTCCATTAAAAAAATAATAATAATAAGTGAATAATCAAGGGATAGCAGCCGCAGAGGTAATGAAGAATCCTTTAAAAATCAAGATGGATATTTAACTTGGGGGGTAGGGGAGTACAGTGTTGAAAAGTTGGAAGACTGAATGAGTGAGGACAGCTGTTACCTATGCTGAAGGATTTGGGGATGAGAGATCATGGAAGACAGGTATCCTGAGACCAGTTGTTCTAAAATGCGTAAGATATGTTCTTGGTGTCAAGTTTTATCTTCATTTCATTTAACACACTGGAATTGTCTGAGAGTTGAAAAATTGTCCTTCCCACTGCCACCCATTGCTGAGGTAAGTAGGTCCTTGGGAAAGGGAGGCATGGGGATGGGGAGCGAGGTCCAGTGGAAGACATGTAAAAGTATCCGATTGCTGGTATCTAAGGAGAGAGAAGAAAAATAACCAGTAATTATGGTAGTAGAGTCCTCGGAGTCTAGTTTGAACAGCATTCTCAACTAATGCAGTAATTTAACTGATGAGTGACAGAGTGGTGGCATTCAGCTTGTAGTTTTATTTGGCCATACTTCCCACATTCTTTCTCCTGAGGAAATGCCCAAACGTGTAGATTCGAGTGACAGCAAGGCCGTTAAATCATCTGGGATATGAATGTGGTTTTGTTTTACACTCCAACAGCTATAAAATCAGTGAACGAAAATCTGGATCCTTTTTTTTTTTTTTACTCCCTTTAAAAAATTGAATGGCTTCTTTACATTTCTTCTTTGGTATAACTCTGAATTAAAAGTTTAATTTAGAGATTATTTAATTCCTATCCCCTTTATCTTCATCAAGAATCTAGAAGCTTTTTATAACTGTAAAAAAGTTGTAATTCTCTTGAGCTTCTGCCAGTAGCATACGGTGATGCCAAAATTTATGTGTGGGAAAGTTGATTTCAATGAGGGTAATTTAGCTGAAGTTTAGTCTAAGAAACTAGTGTCTTGCTGCCAAGCAATTATTTGCATTTCTAAAAAATGACTTATACTTTTTACCAGTGCTTTCCTTTCATCATAAACTAGTTACTTAAGTAAGTTATTGTCACTAATGGCATATTTCTATAAAGGAAACTATATTCTTGTTTAATTCGGTTAACCTCAGACTTTTATTTTTAATATGCAAGGTTGAATACTTCTATTAAATGTTGCCTTTTGTTTGTATAAAATCTATAGGAATTAAATCAACAACTAGAAAAAAAGAAAGAAGTGGAAGACCGTGAAAAGAGAAAGATAATTGCTGAAGAAAAGCACAAGGAATGGGTTCAGAAAAAGAATGAACAGGTAAGGAGAAAAAAGGGCACACACATACTGCATCTCATTTATAGTCTTCATCCTGTTACTCCTAGTCATTACCTACGTGTTTCTCATTTTCTCTTAGATTCTTTCTTTTCTGACCTAGTTTCTGCCCCCTCCCCGCCCCACCCCAACCCTCTCCCCGCCAGGGACATCTCTCGGATCTTTTGTCCTTTGCTCTCTGCTCTCTCCCTTTTCCATCATGTGGCTTCCATTTGGATGTGGTTGCAGGTAGTCATGAAATCTGTTATCTCCAGACCTGATCTTCCAGAGCCTTGGGTTTTCATCTCTTCAGTAGATAGGCACCTCTGGGCCTACAAATCTAAAACAGCCCATTTTTACCCATTCTCCTCTGACAGAATCATCATCCTGACTCCTTGATTTCTGATCTTAATGTAGCTTATCAGGCACCAAGACATAATTGGAATTTTCTTGTTTCTAATTGCCAATGCCTTTCCTTTATGATCATCTCTCTCCTGTTTGTGCTTTTTCCTTGTCTGGACTCATTACATTTTTCAGTTTATTTATTGTTTATTTGCTTCCCTGGTGGCTCAGATGGTAAAGAATCTATCTACCTGCAATGCAAGAGACCTGGGTTGGATCCCTGGGTCAGGAAGATCTCCTGGAGAAGGGAATGGCTACCCACTCCAGTATTCTTGCCTGAAGATTCCATGGACAGAGGAGCCTGTGGGCTACAGTCCATGGTGTCTCAGATTCGGATATGACTGAGAGACTTTCACTTCACTTCATTGTTTACTTCCCATACTGGAATGTAAGCCCCATAAGGGCAGGGATTTGTGCCTCTTTGTTCAGTTATCCAGCAGATAAATCAGTATCTTGATGCTTAAAAGCCACCCAAGATTTGACTTCATCCTCTGTATCCTTGCCAGAGAAATCATTCCAAAAAGCCAAATGTCATTCCTCAGTTCAAAACTACATCTTTTGTCATTCCCTACTCGCCTCTGAATAACATTTGAACTGTTCTGGCCTGGCTGGTTAAATACCTGGCTGGTTAAATTCTGCTCTCTGAACCACGTCTCCTTCACCTGTGCTATTCTTCATTCCACACTATCAGCCTCTGACTGGCATCTCTGGGAAGCACATTCAGGATAAGCATGGCCCATCTTCTTGGCGTATTAGTTTTGCTGGAAAATATTGAGAAGAAAAGTGTTATTTTTATGTTAAAGCAAGCATAGATATTTAATAGTATAGAACATAAATTTTATAGTATTTTTAAAATACACAATAGAATTCAAAGAAATATTGGGCTTTGGATTGTGCTCCCCAGCCCCTAGGAATATACGTTCACAAGAACTTTTGAGAACATTTCTGTTCTATTTCTCACCTTTTAAAATAATTATCTCCTTGATGTGGGATCTCATCACATTTTCCCCCCCTACCTTTGGTGGCTCAGACGGTAAAGAATCTGCCTGCAGTGCAGGAGACCCGGGTTCAACCCCTGGATTGGGAAGTTCCCCTGAGTGTGTATGCCCAGAAGTGGGATTGCTGGGTCATATGGTAGTTCTATTTCCAGCTTTTTAAGAAATCTCCACACTGTTTTCCATAGTGGCTGTACTAATTTGCATTCCCACCAACAGTGTAAGAGGGTCCACTCCAGTATTCTTGCTGGAGAATTCCGTGGACAGAGGAGCCTGGTCCACGAGGTCACAAACAGTTGGAAACGACTGAGCCGATTTTACTCACCTCCTTTTGTTATCCAGCTTAGAGTATTTCCTACATGAAGTATTCTCTGATCACATGCTGGAAATTCTTTTCTTCTCTGAATCCTTGTTTAATTGACATCATTTTATCATATACTGCCATGTATTATGTATATATTTTGTGGCTGCTTTGTATTATGCATATGTCTTCACTTCTCATGTAATTTTAAGACTCTTCAGGATAGGAGTTATTTTTTAGGTGATTTCCCCTCTTTTTAACTTTCTATTTTGTATTGGGGTATAGCTGATTAACAATGTTGTGGTGGTTTCTGGTGAACAGCAAAGGGACTCAACCATACGTATTTGTGTAACCATTCTCCCCCAAACCCCTCACATCCAGTCTGCCACTTAACATTGAGCAGAGTTCCTTGTTCCCTATACAGTAGGTCCTTGTCGGCTATCCATTTAAAATACAGCAGTGTGTGCATGTCCATCCCAAACTTGCTAACATCCCTTCCCCCCATTCACCCCCTCCGGCGACCATAAGTTTGTTCTCTGTGAGTCTCTGTTTTGCAACTAAGGAGTTATTTTTGTATTACTTTTTATCTAGTATAAGATCTGACATAATGCTTTCTCTGCCATTCATCAACATGAATCGGCCACAGGTATACATGTGTCACCTCCCTCGTGAACTTCCCTCCCGTTCCTTCCCCATCCCAGCCCTCGAGGTTGTCACAGAGCACTGGGTTGAGCCCCCCGTGTCACACGGGAAATTCCCACCGGCTGTCTGACGTACAGAGAACAGACCTGTGCACACATTGGGGAAGGCAGGGTGGGTCGAATTGGGAGAGTACTGCGCAAACATATACAGGGCATTTGGAGGTGATAAATTATTGAATGAATAAATGTATCATCTTCCTTTGAATTTCAATACATTCTTGTATTGGATCACAGGTTAGAAATTTAAAACATATTTATCTTGTCACTTTGTTTCCTGTTGTGAGTTTTTGCATATTTGGAATGGTACTGCTTTTATTATTGATGTCTAGCTTCATGAATGCAGTTAGATGTTGAAATTGTAAACCAAAAGTTTTAACTTATTTCTAATTTTTGGTTCCTAGCTATTGTTGAATGTAATGCCTAGTGTTATTAATAAGAGTACCTAGTAAATACTTCCCCAGTAAATTGAAAATTGCATAGCATTCATCATCCAAGTATTGTAAGAAGGAATTGACTAGATGTGTGTGTTATAACCATAAATATATCTGTTCTTAAGTAAATTATTTTTTAAAGTTTGCTATATCCCATAATACAATAAGAGAGTTCTTTGTGAATAAATGCCAAAATCAAAATAAGCCTGTGTGACCACTACTAAGCCTTGAGTGATACTTTTTTGAAGTGTATAATTATAAAACAGTTTTGCGTGTATTGTATAAGTATATTCTCTCCTCTAAAAGCTTCTCTTATCTTCTGACTCCATTAAGCTCATTTTACCATGCCAATCAAACATAGTTGTTGTTTGTCTAAGAATGCAGAGATGATACATTCCCTGTTTTAATTAGTGGTGGTAGATCTAATCCAATTATTTGAGAGAAAAAAAATTTCTTTCTTTTGGAGGGAAGTGTCTTGTCCTGACATCACTAATTAGCAAAAGTAAGGTTCCATAAGGTTGAGAAGAGTTTAAAAATGAAACCTTGAGAAATTTAAGTTTACTTATTCTGCAGAATTCTTGTGCATGCTAAGGAATAGTTAGGATACTCTTTTTTTTTTTCTTTAAGAACTCTCGGATTTCTTATTTCAGGCTTGGTTACGTTTGCCTCTCTTTGTGAAGACTGCTCTCTGGTTCTCCTCTCCCCGTCTGGCATCTCGCTCTTTTCTCCTCTGTTTACACTGCATGGTGTGTGGTCCTCTGCCTGCCTCCAGCCTCATTCACATTTTAGCTCTATCTGTGGCATTATTTTCTCTAAGTCATTTTCACTGTGTTCTATCAAAAAATCAGACAAAAAGCATTTATGTATCCATTAACAAAGCTGGTTTCTTTTATTGTAAATCTTTTTTCAAATAAAGGGTTTATCTCATCTGGAACTCTGATATTTGTGTTGCCATACTAATTTATTTTTTAGATTTTTTTTTTTTACTGTGTGTTACACATATTTTGTAAAAGGGTATTTGCCTTCATTGAGAATTAAAAGTAAATTTATTTTTAAAGTTTTTTTTTTTTTAACCAAGGAACTGCTTTTAATGTAAAAAATTAATTCAAGCCAACAAGCATATGATTGATAACTATCATCAGTTCTCATTCATGCCTTCAACACTTTTATTATGTGCCAGGTACTATTGAAGGAATCAAAATAGAAATTCAGGTTTGTTAGTTTCCTTTAGTTGGAAGAAACAAAGGTTCTCTCAAGGCACCATCTTTTTAAAAAAAAAAAAAAAGGAAGATTGATTGTTGTGCTCTGTGCGGTACAGAACTGGAGTGCCAGAAAATCTGAAGCCACTTAGTGGCTGGCTGTTCCCTCTCGGTACTTCTCTCTGAGTGCCTGTTCTGATACCCTTTTGCTAACTAAAGACATTCCATTCCCTCTTCTGCAGTTTAAATGCTGCAGAGAGCCTGATGATGTTTTAAAATCAACTTCATTGAGCTATAATTTACATACAATAAAATACACCTATTTTAACTTTGATGAGGTGTGACAAGATATGTACCTGTAAAACTAGCACCACAGTCAAAAGAGAGAACTCTTTCTTCACTCCAAAAAGCTCCATTGTGCTCCTTTGCATTTAACCCCTGCTTCCTAACCCCCAACTAACCCCAGCTCCAAGGAAGCCATCGATCTGCTTTCTGTTTCTATAGATAAGATTTGCCTTTTCTAGAATTTCAGATAGAGTCACTAAATGTATATTCCTTAGCATCAGGCTACTTTTTTTAAAAAAAGTTTTTATTTTTGGCTGTGTTCTGTCTTCCTTGCTGTGCACGAGCTTTCTCTAGTTGTGGCAAGCAGGGGCTACTGTCTGTTGCAGTGTATGGGCTTCTCATTGCGTTGGCTTCTCTTATTGCAGAGCACGGGCTTTCGGGCCAGCAGGCTCAGTAGTTGTGGCTCATGGGCCCTAGAGCTCAGCCTCAGTAGTTGTGGCTCATGGGCTTAGTTAACTCCTCTGCAAGTGGAATCCTCCCAGACCAGGGGTCAAACCTGTGTCCCCTGCAGGCAGATTCTTATCCACTGTACCACCAAGGTAGTCCCAGGCTACTTTTGTTTTTAAAAAATTGCTAATATTTCTTGTATTAAGATTGTTCCTTTTTATTGCTCAGTGTCAAAAGTTATGTAT